TTTAGGGCAATTGTATTATGTGTACAAAAAGTACAAAACACAAAGAATTCGGACCAGTGAAATATATACTCAAAAAGAGCGGCAAGCTCATGGATTTTTCAAATCATAAAAATCAAATCTTATCAAATCATAAAAACTAATAATGATTCCNTAAAATTACTAAAATGGTTTCGTTGCTACAAGAGGAAATATTGCTTTTAGATTTAGGGCAATTGTATTATGTGTACAAAAAGTACAAAACACAAAGAATTCGGACCAGTGAAATATATACTCAAAAAGAGCGGCAAGCTCATGAATTTTTCAAATCATAAAAATCAAATCTTATCAAATCATAAAAACTAATAATGATTCCGATGAGCGTAAAGGTTTTCAATTTGTTGGCATCGCTGTTGGAGAAAAAGTTAACAAGAATTTCCCGCAGGAAACCTATCGAGCCGGAGTGCCGCTTGGTGTTAACATTAATGTAGGTTCTGGTAGTTTTAACAATACTACATTTACATTTGTATATCTTTTTGATAGGTATTTAGCACAAGGTGCAAAGTGGCAAACTATTGCATGGACTTTTCGGATGGGCCTCTCTACTGTGCGCAAAATAGTTTTTGAAACTTGCGAAGCCATTTGGGATGAGCTATGGGCAATTTATTTGCCTCCACCAAATGAATGCGAATGGGAAAGCATAGCTTTGGAATTTTATACAAAGACTGGGCTACCACATTGCGTAGGATGCATCGATGGCAAACACATCAGCATTCGATGTCCACCACGCTCTGGCTCGCTCTATTACAACTACAAAAAATATCATAGCATAGTTTTATTAGCTGCTTGTGATCACAATTACTGTTTCACCGCAGTCGATATAGGTGCATATGGCAGTCAGAGCGATGGTGGAATATTGCGAGCCAGCTCTTTCGGCAGTAAAATTATTAATAACACGATAAACTTGCCAACAAATGCAATTTTACCTGGGTCTAATATATCAATGCCCTACTTTTTCGTTGGC